TCTTATAAATTTGACTTAATTCTCTCTATATTTTAGAAATGAGGTACTCATCAGAGAGACTGGTTGTAAAAATTCTTTCCCAATTTTCTACCTTCCTTCTAATTTTAGTTGCATTGGCTTTGTTTGTGCAAAAACTTTTCAATTTAATGTAATCAAAATTATCTATTTTGCTTTTCATAATGTTCTCTATCTCCGGTTTAGTCATGAATTCTTCTGTTCTCCATAGATCTGACAGGTAAACTATTCCTTGCTCTCCCAGTTTGCTTATAGTATCAGTCTTTATATCTAAATCATGAACCCATTTTGACTTTATTTTGGTATATGGTGTGAGATTTTGGTCTATGCTTAGTTTCTGCCATACTCTTTTCCAGTTTTCCCAGCAGTTTTTTTCAAAGAGTGGGTTCTTATCCCAGAAGCTGGGGTCTTTGGGTTTATCAAATAATAGATTACTATAGTCATTGACTACTGTGTTTTGCATACTTAACCTATTCCACTGATCTACCACTCTATTTCTTAGCCAGTACCAGGCAGTTTTGATGATTGCTGCTTTATAATACAATTTAAGATCTGGAATGGCTAGGCCATCTTCCCCTGCATTTCTTTTTATTAATTCTCTTGATATTCTGGACCTTCTGTTCTTTCAAATGAATCTCGTTATTATCTTTTCTAGCTCTATAAAACAATTTTTTGGTAGTTTGATTGGTATGGCACTGAATAAGTAAATTAGCATAGGTAGAATTGTCATTTTTATTATATTAGCTCGGCCTACCCGTGAGCAACTGATGTTTTTCCAATTATTTAGATCTGACTTTATTTGTGTGAAAAGTGTTTTGTGATTGTGTTCATAGAGTTCCTGGGTTTGTTTCAGGAGGTAGACTCCTAAATATTTTATAATGTCTACCGTAAGTTTAAATGGAATTTCTCTTTCTATGTCTTGCTGTTGGGCTTTGTTGGTAATATATAGAAATGCCAATGATTTATGTGGGTTTATTTTATAGCCTGTAACTTTGCTAAAGCTGTTTATTATTTCAAGTAGTTTTTTACTTGATTCTCTGGGATTCTCTAAGTATATCATCATATCATCTGCAAAGAGTGATAGCTTTGTTTCTTCTTTGCCTATTCAATACCTTCAATTTCTTTTTCTTCTCTTACTGCTAAAGCTAACATTTCTAGTACAATATTGAAAAACAGTGGTGATCATGGACAAAATTGTCTCACCCCCGATCTTATTGGAAATTCTTCTAGCTTGTCCCCATTATATACAATGCTTGCTGAAGGTTTTAGGTAGATGCTATTTATTATTTTAAGGAAGACTCCATTCATACCTGTGCTCTCTAGTGTTTTTAATAGGAATGGGTGTTATATTTTGTCAAAAGCCTTTTCTGCATCTATTGAGAGGATCATATGGTTTCTGTTAGTTTCGATGTTGATATGATCAATTATGCTGATAGTTTTCCTAATATTGAACCAGCCCTGCATTCCTGGTATAAATCCTACCTGGTCATAGTGTATTATTCTTGTGATAAGTTGCTTTAATCTATTTGCTAATATTTTATTTAAAATTTTTGCATCTATATTCACTAGAGAATTTGGTTTATAATTTTATTTCTCTGTTTTGACTCTTCCTGGTTTAGGTATCAGCACCATATTTGCATCATAAAAAGAATTTAGTAAGACTCCTTCTTCACCTATTTTCCCAAATAGTCTATATAGTATTGGAATTAATTGTTCTTTAAATGTTTGATAGAATTCGCGTGTAAATCCATCTGGCCCTGGAGATTTTTTCCTAGGGAGTTCATTAATGGCTTGTTCAATTTCTTTTTCTCAGATGGGGTTATTTAGGTATTTTACTTCCTCTTCTGTTAATCTGGGCAATTTATATTTTTGTAAATATGTATCCATTTCACTAAGATTGTCAAATTTGTTGGCATATAGTTGGGCAAAATAATTCCTAATTGTTGTTTTAATTTCCTCTTCCTTGGTGGTAGATTCACCTTTTTCATTCTTGATACTAGTATTGGTTTTCTCCTTTCTTTTTTAAAATTAAATTAACCAAAGGTTTATCTATTTTATTGGGTTTTTTTTTTCATAAAACCCGCTCTTAGTTTTATTTATTAGTTCAATAGTTTTCTTAATTTCAATTTTCTTAACTTTTCCTTTGGTTTTCAATATTTCTAATTTGTTGTTTAATTGAGGATTTTTCATTTGTTCTTTTTCTAGTTCTTTTAGTTGTGTGCCCAATTCATTGATCTCCTCTTTTTCTATTTTATTTATGTCAGCATTTAGAGATATAAAACTTCCCCTGAGACCTGCTTTTGCTGCATCCCATAAGTTTTGGTATATTGGCTCATTATTGTCATTCTCTTGAATGAAATTATTGATTGTTTCTATGATTTGTTGTTTGACTCACCCATTTTTTAGGATTAGATCATTTAGTTTCCAATTATTTTTTAGTTTATCTTTCCATGACCCTTTATTACATATAATTTTTATTGCATCCGATAGGCCTTCCTTAATAAAGGTCTGACCATGGCACCCTCTTCTTCATTCAAACCCACAGGCTCCCTGTTGTCACTAGGGCCAGACATAAACTCGTGGCCTGTTGCTACTTTGCAGTGGGTGTCCTTGCCTCTCCTAAGTCCACACGTTTGGTGACTGCCCCCCATGCCTCATTCTCTCCCTCTTTATTTCTGCCTCCTGGCTCAGCTAGAGCACTCTCCTCCTCCCCCCCTCCTCACCCAGCCCTCCTGCCTTCCCCTCCCTGGGTCACCTCCAGTTTATCCCATCTGTTCCCCTCCCCCCATTGGGCCAGAAGCTCCCCCTGTGAAAGCAGGGACCATCCTTGGCCTTTCTTGTACCCCCAGGACTTAGCACAAGCCCAGCACAATAGTCAGTTTCTCCTGAATGCTTGACTTGCCTAGACCTCTCTGCCCTCACCTCCTGGAAGTATTATTCATTCCCATGGATTCAATGACCGTCTCTCTGCTGGGATTCTCAGATCTACTTCTGCTCTGACCTCCAGCCTCACATCTCTCCCCACCATTTCCTCAGACTGGATGCCCCAGAGGCACCTCCAAAGCAGAACTCACTCTATTTCCCCCAAACCTTCCTCTCTTCCAAATCCCCCCATCACTGCAGAGGGCACCCCCACTCCCCAGGCTCCCAATCCAGGAATCCTCCACCAGCCCCCCCAGATCCAAGATGGTGACAAGGCCTGACAACTGCCCGTTCCTCAAATCTCTCCCCTCTATTTCCTTCCAGGCTATTAGAACAGCTTGATATTGGGTCTTCTGGTTCCACTCTCTTCTCCAATACATCTTCCATAGGGGCAGTTAGGTCGTGTAGTGGAGAGAGTACCAGGCCTGGAGTCAGGAAAACTCGATCATCTTCCTGAGTTCAAATCTGGCTTCAGACACTTACTAGCTGTGTGACCTTGGGTACATCACTTAACTCTCTTTGCCTCAGTTTCCTCATCTGTAGAATGAGCTGGAAAAGGAAATGTATCTTTGGTCCAGTATCTTTGCCAGGAAAACCCCAAATGGGGTCACAATGTGTTGGACACGACTGAACAACACCACATCTTCCATGTGGGCTCCTAAGGTAAGAGTTGGTGACACCTTCCTCACTACAAACTCCTCAGCCTGGCATTCAAGGCCCTACGTAAACTTGTTCCTACTACCTTCCAGTTTTATTTCACATTCCTCACCTTCACACATGCACACTTCAAATTCAATCCATCAATTAAGTGGCATTTATCAAGTTCCTAGACAAACAAAGACAAAAGTAACATGCCCTCACCCAGCAGGCACACCCAGAAACATGCCTGGGGGGTGGAGTACCTGGGCAGGGGTAGGGTGGGAGCCGTGGGCACCTTTGGGGAGGGGGCAGGAGAGCACCTCTCCTCCTCTCCCCCAGCCTCTGAAAAGCCCTGGCCTTTCTCCTTGCCAAGGCCAGTGCTGCTTCACGGCAGGCAGTCCCACCCCACTCCTCCAGCAGATGAGTATAGCCTCAGTTCTCTCCCCCCAAACTCTTCAGGTCTACCAGGTCCTTCCCTACTGCCCCTGTCTCTATCTCTGTCTGTCTGTCTCTCTTCTCTCCATCTCTTTCTGACTCCTCTCTTGGTCTTTCCCTCCCCTTCCCCTGTCTCTGTCTCTCTCCCCCAGAAACACATCGGTTTCAAACCAGTTCCTTCCCTCTTCCTGGGGTGCTACCTCTCACATGCCTGAAGTTAACAGCGCTCCTAAAGACAAGGTGACCCTTCAAAGCAAATAAAGGTACCCCCCCCTTTTAAGAAACAGGGAAAGGATCCGCTTTTAGGAGAGAGTGGAAGGAACTACAGAGTAACTGACTAGGGTCTGTAATTGATTGATGGGACCAGGATGTGCAGGCTGGGCTCAGGCTGGGCTCAGGCTGGGCTCAGGCTGGGGATGAGGGGTGAGGACCCGAGGAGGGCGCTGCCCCTGGTGCTGGGAGGGTGGGCGCTGGGGCTTGTTTCAAATTCTGGGTAGTTCATTTATTTATCCATAATTTACTAAGAGCCCACCGGGTGCCAGACGGGGACTCGTGCTGAGGGTCCAAGGAAAGGCAAGAGCAGGGCCCCTGCCCCCAAAAGGCTTACATTCTAACGGGGGAGACACACACACACGGGGTAGGGGGGTGGGGGACGTGACCAGCAGGCGTTCCTCCCCCTGCCCCCCATCTCCGCGTGGGAGAGGGTTAGGGTTGGTGTCTCTGGTTGGGTCCAGTCAACCAGGAACGCACTGCCCCGCCCCCCTCCCAACCCCCCTCCCCAAGAGGACCTGAGTGTCCTCCGCCGTGGGAATCTCCCCAAGCACGTCCCGGCAGGGACGTCTCCGCCCGCCTCCCTCCCACCCTGCCGGGGGTCTCAGGGGCTCCCTCGGCCTTTCCTGGACTGCATTTCCCAGAAGCCCCCGCGGCGCCCCGCCTTTTAGGCTTCTGTTTCCTGGCCGCGCGGGCCATGACGTCATCCCCCCGCGCAGACTTCGGCGCTGACGTGGCGGGAGCGAGGACGGGGTTTGGGGCTCCTCGGGTTTGGGGGTCACGATGCGGCGCGCGGGCCTCGGTGAGGGGGGCGGGGAAACTGAGGCAGGGCAGGGGGCGGGGCTGCAGGGCGCCTTCCCAGACTGAAGAGCGAGGGGGCCGGGATCAGCGGTCTTGGAGGGAGGCGCGCCCTTGGGCCTTCTGCCACCTGGGGAGTTAATACTCTGTGTAGACTGGGAGCCCTGTGGCCTTTACCTGCAGGGAGCGCTTTACCCTGGGCAGGTCACGCCCTCTGGCCGCCTCAGTTTCCCCAACTGTACAGTGGGGGTCGTCCTCGCCCCTCCTTCCCAGGGCCCAAATCTTCCCCCTCCCCCAGTCGCCCCCTGGTGCCCCCTCCCCTCCTGGCATCGGGGTCAGTGCTTCCCCCGCCCCCCCCGCCGGTGCTGGACTTTGCTGACCGACAGACCCCAGGGGGGGTGGGGGGATGGGAGCTCACCTCCTACTGGGCGATGGAGGGAGAAGGGGGCTCGGACCTGTGGCCTGAGGTGACCTGGGGGCCCCTCCCCCAAGCTGCCTCGGCACACAGTAGGTGCCCTGGGTCTACGGCCACTCTTGTTCCCTGTAAAGAGGCATTTGGGACCCTTGTGGCAGATCTGGCATCATGGGGGGGGGGGGCAGCACCAGGGGTGGAGCCTCCCAACCCCAGCCTCCTCCCTGCCCACTGAAGGCAAACACACATCCAGGCACTTATTGAGTGCCTACTGCATGCCAGGCACCTGGCCAAGTGCTGGGGATGCAAAGAAAGGCAGAGCACAGTGCCTGCTGGGTGGGGCACGGCAGCAGGATAAATTGGGGAGGGTCTGGGGAAGGGGGAGTGCTGGGAGGGGCCTCTTTCAGAAGAGGGGGCCGGGAGACCAAGGTGGAAGGGGGCAGAGCAGGCTTCCTGGGGGGGGGGGCCTGGCTGGGAGAGGATCCCTGCCATCCCTGCGTGGGCCTCCCGCTAACCCGCTCCCTGTGCTCCTCCAGGCGAAGGTGGGCCACCTGCTGGGCACCACGGCTATGCCAACAGTGGCTACAGCTCCTTGGAAGAGGAGAACGCCCGCCTGACGGAGAGCCTGCGCACCAAGGTGACCGCCATCAAGTCGGTGAGTGGGAGCCATGCGGCCTGGAATCTGGGAGCTGGGGCCCAAAGCTAGCTTCCTAGGGCCTCCGGGAACATCCCCTCCAGAGCCAGTCAGCAAGCACTCAGTGGAGGCCTTGAACCTGGGGAGGGCCCGGCACAGGCCCCTCTCCCTAACAGGCTTTCTGAGGCCCCGTCTGAAAAGTTGCTGGGGGGGAGGGGAAGGGGGGGACTGCAGGGGGGAAATCCCCCTCGCCCTTCTCCCTCCCCACCTCCCATAGTGTTTGCTTGCACACTCAGAATAAGTCACAAAGCCTGTTTTAGGGCTCTCCCTTTCTTTGCCTGGATTGGTGACTTCACTTGCACAGGAAAGTTCCAGGGCACATGTTGAAGTAGAACAGACAGAAATGTAGGGGACAGAGCCTGGAGCGAAGTCGGGTCTGGGTGAGAAGGTGGTGCTCGAAGTCAGGAAGGAGAAGGAAGGGCCCTGACCTCCGCCTCCCTGGCCCCCCAGCGCCTCTCATGCTCTGCCTCCACTGTCCCCGGCAGCTTTCCATCGAAATCGGGCACGAAGTGAAGCATCAGAACAAGATGTTGGCAGAAATGGTGAGTGTTGGGCCAGGGGCGTCAAGAAACTTGGTCCAGTGGGACAGACCCTGACTTCTTTTTATATGGAAGTTTAGTTTTCCAGTGATCAGGTTTGTGTTTCTCTTCCTGTCTTCCCCTCCTGAAAGAAGAAAAAGAAAAACAAGCCATGTCCTCATTAGCCATGCGCTAGATGGGGGCCCATGGCCTCTCACATCTCAGTCAGGCCCTGGTGGTCACTGCACTGGCCAGAGAGCCTTCCAGAGGCTTGGGCCTCACAGACCACTTTATGTTTATGGGAGTGAAGCCGTGGCAGGGACTCCTTTCTTGGTTCTGTATCTTCCAGGCTTTGCCAAAACTGCCTTTCTTTTTGTTTTCTCTCTCTCTCTCTTTCTTTCTGTTATCCTTTCTTTCCCTTTCCTCCTCCCTCTCTTTTTTCCCTCCTTCCTTCCTCCCTTCCTCCCTCCATTCCTTCCTTCTTTCCCATACATGTGCCTTCATTCGTTCAGCCATCTCCCAGTAGTTTTGGGGTATAGACCTACTGATGTCGCTGGATCAAAGGGTTCACACAGTTAGTTCCACACTGCTTTCCAGAATGGCAGGGCCAGACCACAGCTCCACCAACAATGCATGAGCGTGCCTGTGTCTCCACAGTCCCTCCAGCCTTGGTCATTTTCCTTTTTTGTTATCTTTGCTATTCTGATGGAAATGAGGTGGTAGTTCAGAGTTGCTTTAATTTACGTTCCTTTTATTGTTACTGATTTGGAGCATTTGTTCATAGGGGTGTTGATGGCTTGGATTTCTTCCCTTGAGAACTGCCTGTCTATATCCTGTGACCATAGTCAGTTGGGAAATGGGGAACTTAGATGAACCAAGCAGCCCGCAGAGTGATTCTGCCTTCCAGCACGTCTCCTCTTAGACCAGAGGGGCCCCAAAGGAAGACCCCTCCCCCTCGGGAATAGCAGGAGGCAGAAGTCTCCATGGAAGGCAGGAGCTGACCCCCCTTCCTGCCAGGCTGGTCTGCCAGTGCATTGAGGGCTCCTGACTTGGGCATCCTACAGACAGCAGAGGGGATGGGAGACGACTGGGCTTGCTGGGGGTGGGGCTTCTTCCCGTCTTTCCCTAGAGGAGCCTCTTTCATCAGGGTCAGTCTTGTTCCTGACCCAGACTCCTCCTTCTCAGGTTTCTGCCTCCTCACTGACTGCTCTGTGGGGGAAGGGGTCAGATCCAGACCTGGCCAGAGGTCTGAGCTGGGTGACCACACTACTCTGCTCTCTGCAGGGGTTCAGGGAAGGCCACTCCTCAGATCACGTCAGGTTCGTGGGGGGTCAGGGCGTGGCCTGCACCTCACGGACCCCTGACCGCAGTTGCCTCCCTCTCACAGGACTCAGAGTTCGATTCGACCACCGGCTTTCTGAGCAAGACCATGGGGAGGCTGAAGGTCCTGTCCCGAGGGAGCCAGGCTAAGCTCCTGGCCTACATGGCCCTTTTCTCCTGCTTCGTCTTCTTTGTCATTTATTGGATCATTAAACTGAGGTGATGCCAGTGGCTCTGAGCTCACGTTTGTGCAGCAGGCAGCTGCCTCTCCTCTCCCGTGGGGACCAGGCTTGGTTTGTGTCCCCTTCGCCCGGGGGCTCAACTTGGCTCAGGGCTGAGGATCCCAGCGCGTGGGAGCCATGTGTGGGCTTTGGGAAGAGTGACGTCCCTAGAGGGCCTCTGGGGTCCAGGCAGGATTCCCCTACTCCTCCTCTCAGCCCCCTCCCCTTCTTTCGTCCCTCTTTCCTCCACCTTCCCACCCACCCCGTTGGTTCCCTTTGTAGATAAGTCGATTCCACGTGGAGAGACATTCTGGCATTTTCCTTCCTCTTCTCTCAAACATTCCTTCCTTCCTTCCATAAGATACTTTGGTCTTGGGGAATGTTTTTGGTAGAACCCAAAGCAGATTTGCCAGCCGAGGAAGTGTGATGATGAATTTCTCAGGCTATGACTTCCGCCTCCTGTGGCCGAGTTGTGGGGCGAAAGATGATTCCTTGGATCCCGGTGGGTCGAGGTCGCTGCCTGGCTTTCGGGCTGCTCTTCTGGTTTGGGCATCTCAGCCGCGGCTCGGCCCCAGCTCTGGTCCCCTTGGATCGCTGCTGTTTCCTCATGGAGATGAGGGCGTGGCAGAAGAGCCCTGGGGAGAATCGCGCACCCAACTTCCAGGAACTGTCTTCTTTGGACAATCTAAAAATAAATTTGCTTTAAAAGCAACAAAAGCTTGTTGGTACCTGGTTGTCAAATTGCTTTAGAATGAAAACACCTGTAATTTAATTCTTGTGTAACTGGGTTAGAAATAAAGGTCTGTCAGCATCCTTCTGTGGTCGAGACATCCATCAGCATGATATCACCAGACCCAGTGAGTCACAGCTTGCTCTTTCTGTCCTGTAAGGGTCCTGTTGGGTAATCGGGGAGGGGCCCTCCAGTGATGCAGATTACAGCCCCTCCAGGAGCTTCCCCCTGTAGCCAGCCTAAGGGTGAACCCCTTTGGCCTTAGCTCAGCCAGCTGGTCCTCGGGTGGCAGGCAGCCATCACTTTACCTTTGCCTGCCTCAGTTTCCTCCTCATAGCCCCTACCTTCCAGGATGGGTTTTTTTTCCCCCCGAAGTACAGGCATTTATTGAGATTGATACCTTTCATGAATCGAGCTAAGTTCCAAGAGGTACCAGCAGCTTTAGTGAAAGCAAGACAGATTTTTATAGGGTAAAGATGCAATTACGTAACAGGAATTATGAATATTAAAAAGGCAGGAGGGGTTTGTTAAGGGATTAGGTAATGGGGGAGTGGAACAGCCATGCGATTACCCACAATGCATACAGAAAACCCATGGGGGGGTATGTATGTATGATAATGATATCATAATAAGCCTCTCTACGTCATAAGTTCACCTAAAGGATGGCTTTTGCCATTACTGCACAGGTGCCTACTTAGGGAAAGTCCTTTCTGTTTTGGGATCCACATCCTGCTCGGGCATCCTGGTGGCGCTGCTTTCTGATTGGCTGGCTATTGTGGTCCTGTCTGAGATGAGATCGATGTGGTTGTGGTTGGGTGCATGGACACACCGGTCTGGGGGCAGTGGCTAGCTAGAGGCAGTGGCTGGGATCCCAGCACATGGACACACCTGTTCATGGACACACCTGTTCTAGATAGATGGAGAAGTTAGGGTATTGAGTCAGGGTGCCGGGCAGTGGGGCCTATAAGGAAGTTAGAATATTGGGGCTGGGGGCAGCTTTATTAGGATTCCATCATTCTCCCCTCAAAGTGCTGGGGCCCCAGTTCCTTTGGGGAAAGGTGAAGGTCTCTGCTTCTGCAGCTTCAGGCTGGCAAGGGGCATAGAGTCGTCCCTTCCTCAGTGGGTCCTGAGGAGGAGGTTGACTGGAACTAGACGGAGGCCACATCCAGGGGATGATTGTGTGGGTATGGGCTGGTATCCACTGTTTGCTGCCAACTGTAGGTGAATTGGCATACACAAGAAGTTTCACTTAACATCTTTACTTGCTTTTCTTTCCTTCAAGTTTAAATTTATTCTTTGAATTAGAGGGGTCCAAATCAGAGACTCCCCCCAAAACTGTTGCGGTTTCATGATGTGATGTGGCAGAACCACCTCAGAGAATTCAGTCAGACCGCCTCTAGTCCAGGTATAGGCATTTACTGAGATGAAGTGGTCTAAGTTCCAAGAGGAACCAGCCACCTTCCAGGACTGTCGAGAGGCTCCAGTGGGATAATGATTGTGACATACTTAGCACAGACCTGGCACCTAGTAGGTGCTTAATGAATGTTTGTTCCCTGCCACAGGTGGAGTGCTTTCTGCCCCAGTAATATCCCTAATGAGCTCCCTCCGCCTTCTCAGTCATTGTAGCCCGAGTGGACACTGCCTCACCCACTCTGTGGAAATCACCCCCGCCACACCCCTTTGGTTTTTTTGTTCATGGCCCTGCTCTGGTCTGATGACTGACAAGGGCTTGAATGAAGGTGGTGGGAGGGGAGGACAGAAGGGAGCCCATTGTTAGGAAAGAATCATTGAGAACACATGACTTTTGACCTCTCAGGATGGACCGTGGACAGAAATGACTGAGCCCGAAGGCAGCACAGCTGGATTGGAAGGGATTTAATTTTGCGTGTTTTTGGAGGTCGTGATGTAACATCCAACAGGAAACGTCTCAAGCTCCCATGGAGAGCTCAGGCTCAGACAGGAGGCAGCAGGCCTCTGGGGGTGGTCCAGAGATTGGCTGGCCTCCCTGCCTCTGGGCTTCCACCTCTGCTCAGCCTACAGTGATCTCCCTGGTAGCTCCAGGGTCACACATCAGTTCCTCTGGCATTGGAAGGCCATCAGAGCCAACCCCCACCTGCCTCTCCAGGCTTCCTACACATTATCCACCTTCTGTGCCTTTGCATTGGCTATGCCCCATGATGTCATCCCGTGATGGTGATGTCATTCCATGATGGTGATGGCATTCCATGTCTCTTCACCTCCACTACTCAGAAGCCCTAGTTTGATAGGTACATACTTTTATCCCTAGTTGATCTCACTGGGAGGCCCTCCACCTTCCCTAAAACGTGGCTTCCAGACTGGATTGCCACTCTCATGGAGAAGTTGGACCAGGAGGGGACAGAGGGCCCAGCCCCAAATCCAGCAGTTGGAGCCCGAGGCTGCAGGAACTGCCTCTTGGCTCCAATTTCACCATGTTATCCTGAAGCCTCTAAGGAGGGACTTTGCCCACACCTTTCTGAAGTCCAGACTGCCTAACCCATCTGAGGGCCTTCCCGTTTGCTGATCCCATGAGAACAGAGATGAGGCAGATATGATGGCCTGAGCTCATGAGGACCCGGGCTGGTCTCTGCTTTCTTTACAAGGGATCTCTTGTAAGACCTCTTTCTCCCCCCGACCCCACCTCAGGCTTTCTAGAATTGTTTTCAAGGCACCAGTATGTGTTCACCCCCTCAAAGAATCTTCCCAAGATGAGCAGTTCCAATAAATAATCCACAGATGGGGGCTTCAGTCATGTAATTTATTCAATCAACATACAGGACATTTGTTCGACCAGCAAGCGGGAAGGTGATGTTTGGCACTTTCCCTGGAAACATTCACGGTCTGCTCAGAGGGGTCTGTGTAGTGCCTGGGGCAGCCTGGCCGGCCTCCTGAGAAGTTTCCATTTGGATCATTTCATTGATTTGGTCGTTGGAAGTATGTCCATGTACTTGCATATGACAGAAAGCATGACTTCATCTGCACCTGCCCCTATGGATACTAGTCGCAGGTCTCTGAAATGAAGGGATAGCAGGGAAGGCGTCAGACCTTGGAATGGGGTTTCTCCCATGCTAGCCATGACACTGACCAATTAATAGCATTCTGTTTTTTTAAAAGAGAAATTTAATTATTTACTTTTTAACATTCTTTTTAAAATTTTGAGTTCCCTATTCCCTCCAGCCCCTTCCTTAGCCATTGAGAAGGCAAGCAATATATCAGTTATAAGTGTGAAATCATGCAAAACATTTCCAGATTTGCCATTTCTTTCTCTCTCTCTCTCTCTCTCTCTCTCTCTCTCTCTCTCTTTCTCTCTCTCTCACACACACGCACACACGCACACACACACAAGAAATAAAGAAAGTGAAAGAATGAGGCTTCACTGTACTCGGTTCAGCTCTCTGGATGTGGACAGTATTGTAGTGTATTGATCAGAGTAGCCAAGTCTTTCACAGATTAACAGCACTCTAAAAGCATATTCCTCACAGCTCCCTTATGACAACTGAGATGACTGCCTGTCCCACCGTGGAGTGGTTCCCCACGGTCATCTCTACTGGATCACAATGGGCCAGGATATCTCTCCTGAGAGGGCCAAGTTTTCAGTGGATTCCTGAGCCTGAGCCCTGCCTTCCATGCCCATTCCCAGAATCCTAGTGCTTCTTTTTATCCCCTCCTTTTGTCTGAGAGTTTGTATTCTTAGCTGAGGAATCACACTGGCCCCCCAAAGTGTCACTGCTAACTGACATGCCCTCCACTTATCTCAGTACTGAAAGGATCTATTGGACCCCTGCTTTATTCCATCCCTGCTTTAGGAGTTGGTCTCTGAATGTCACCTGAGTGGCTAGCTCCCAGGTGTTAGCTGGACTGAATTCAGGTGGATGGTGATGGTGCTAAGTGTCTATGGACTGAGCCAGAGGATGGTCTGTTGTTTGAGCTGGGTGGTGTCAGAGGAGGGCATTGCCAGAAAATGGAGACACCCTTTCCAGCAGCCCAAGGCCCCTCCTGAAGAGGCTTTGGGTTTGGAGAAGCCCTTATTAGGAGTGCTGCCTACATTCTCCATTCTTTGGGTTCCAAGTTTTGTACACTGAGTTTCCCTAAAACTCATGTAGGCCCTTCTGGTGTGTGTGTGTGGCCTTCCATGACATGGTTGGCATAAGCAGAGGCAGTCCTGCTGATGATGGCAGACTGAATGTCCACAGCCCTAGGTGGACCAACGTCCAAAGAATCTCCACCAAAAAACTATGTTTGATATCCACAAGCTCCTTCCAGCAATTAGATGTATGTGTGTGGTCACACCCCTGTCTAACCTGAAGGGACCTGAGAGTTCATCTGGCCCAAGCCCCAGGTCTTAGGACATTGAGGCCCAGAGAAGGGAAGGGGCTACTCCTGGTTAATGCCTGATAGCCAATAGGGTGAGGCTAACCATGAGAAGGCACAGACAGAACAACAGTCACTTCACTAACTCTGCCTGCCTCAGTTTCCTCATCTGTAAAATGGGAATATTAATACCTATTTTTTTTTCCCAAGGCTATTATGAGGATCAAATGAGATATTTATAGAGTGATTTGTAAACTTTAAAGTGCTATATAAATTCTGGCTGTTTTTTATTATTATTACGTTCTGGTTTGGGGAGGATACAGGGGATGGGAAACCAATCTGTATGTAAGTTAAGTATGCATATTTTGGGAGGATCAAGGAGGACCTTGTGGAGAAGCTGATGAGTCTGCTCAGCTATGAGATACTGTCGTGGGAAAGAAACCTTTGGGACTCGAGGGATCATAATCATCTGAAATGCTGATTTCCTATCTTCTATGAGGACGATTGGGCCCTGCATCCTGGAGGCAGCCCCTCAAGGAGGGAGGGGGAGTTATCCTCTGACAGGCCAAGTGTGATGGATTTGGGGTCAAGACACTTGGGCTTGCATCTCAGCTCAGATGCTTACTGAGTCAGGAGGACAATGGGCGCGCTGCTGCACCGCTCAGAACCAGCCTCAGCTTCCTCATGGGTAGAACAGGGGAAGCTGTCCTACCTCCCTTACATAGGGCTGCACAAAGAAAGTGCCCTGCGAGCCCATGCTGCCCTCTCAAGGCCAGGTACCTTTTTTTTCCATGTTTTGTTCCAGTTTCTTTACTGATTCCTATTCTAATTGTGTGATGTCTATAAAAATGTACTTTTAGCAGTTCTTGATGACCTATGATATGACCAGGTCGCTGCCTTGTGTACATATTAATAAAATTAACTTATCTAATAAGTCCATAGATCTGGGGAGAGGGGAATAGGGGGGAACAGCCTTTCCTTAAAGCCCTACCGTGTGCCGGGCACTGTGCTGAGCATGTTGAGGGGATGATCTCATTTGTTATGTCTATTTAATTTATCTAGCACGCTGCACAATTCTACATATGGATTTTCTTCTTTCTGTTCGATTTGTCATATTCTAAATATCGGGCGTTGAAATCTCCCACTCTTCAGTTCAGTCATTTTTAAATGCAGGTAACATTTCCCTTAAACACTTAAGAGCTGCTGTGCCCTGCAGTAGACATATGTATTTAACATTGACACCTTTACCCTGACAATAGTTTCCTTAACCAGGATACAGTTTCTATGTTGTCTCATTTAAAATCAACTGTATCGAAAATCATGTGAGTAACACCCCCGTGCTCCAGAAGCAGTTGGCACATTCTCCTGGTAAACACATTTTGTCTTAACAGTGTTTCCTACTGGAACCCTAATGTTTGGCTTTTCAAGTACATCTAAAGCCTTCAGAAGACCCCAATCAACCCATCCCATCACTGAAATTAGGAATGCCAGCTGATGGTAGAATAAAAGAAAGGATAATTGTTCTGTCAATTTTCTGAAACAAGCTCACCTGAAGAGTCTGCTGACCAAGGCTTTGTGAGTGTATCCCATGGCCCCCCAGTACTGGAGACAGCTGTCAGTCACCTCATGAGAAAGACGACCTGCCTTTAACTTACTCATTGACACCAGCTTGGTTGCATCAAGGCCTTGCGTGTACTGGGCTAGAGAAGGGGAGACGAGTGTGAACTGATGTGACTTGCTCAGAGCCCCCCTTTTGCCTCACAGGCTCTGGCCCCCTCACCTACAGTCCGGTACAACAGTGACCGAAGCAGCTCCAGTTCTGTGGACAGCTCTGCCAGACGGAAGTGCACGACCTGGCTGTCCAGCAGGGGCTTGTTGAAGACGATGCGATTCCGGGCATACTCTATGGTCTGGTGGATGATGTTGGTCAATGGGCTCAGCACTAAGGGACAGAGAACAGCATGACCACTTCTGGAGAGTGGCTGTTAGCCCTCCCCACCATGAGGCCTTTTATAAACAGACAAACCATGACAAAACCCTGAAAAACCTGAATTCTGACCCAGCGTCACAGACCTGCCCTCACTGAGTCCTCAAAGCCTTCCAAGAACCATTGGAAGTCTGTTTCCTGCTGTGGAAAGATGGGACAAAAACCCAGAACCCAGAAGACAAAGGAAATTTAATTAAAGCCACATTGTTTTGAATATAGCTGGCATGAATATGCATATAGAAATACTGTATGTAGAGGACCTGAGGAGGGTGAATGTCCAACTGGATCTATGTCATGAACCAAGGAGAATGAAACAGGGGAAGCCCCTGGAAAGAACAAGACCACCTTTATAGTCTATGGGGTTAAGTTACTTGCCCAGGGTCACATAGCTAGTAAGTGTTATGTGTCTGAGGCCGGATTTGAACTCGGGTCCTCCTGAATCCAGGGCTGGTGCTCTATCTACTGTGCCACCTAGGTGCCCCATAATATTTGTTTAAAAAAAATAGTGCCTAGCACATAGTAGGGACTATAGAACGTCTAACCCTTTTCCTCTCCCCTCCCCCCTTTCCCTCCCGTGGTCTCCATTTTAGAAACCCCCATATAAACTCTGATCTGGAAATGACAATCCCACAGCCTGAAAGTTTCAGCTGTGTGCTGTGGAACACACTGGGGACTTTGAGAGGAGATAAAATTCTCCAAGGTGTCACCTTGTCATTCCCAGTTCACATGTACAATTACACCAGAATGATGCTACAGGCTCATGTCTGCGTGAGAAAAGTCATGACTTCTGACCTGTGCTATGGAACCTCTGGTAAAGGAGATGGCCAATGAGAATGACTCACTGGGGGCAGATGACCAGGGGGCTGCTCCTGGCTGCCCAGGAAGTCGAGACAAAGGGCAGAGCTAGCAACATCCCCTCCCCTCCAACCAGCCCTGTACTTTACCCAGGGCTGTGCTAGACATCCTCTCCTCTTGGAACTGGAGCATCTGGTACTGGAAGCCCCGGCCTTCCTCCCCAATGAGAAACCGTCTGGGCACTCGGACATCCTCGAAAAAGACCTGCACTGTGTCTGATGCCCACATGCCCAACTTTTCTATGTTCTTGGAGACGTGAATGCCTAGGAAGGAGCAAAGACATTGTGAGCGTGGTGTGCAGCCCACACTCTGGACCAGGATGTATAGGAAGTAGCGCCAGGATGTGTAGGAAGTAGCGCTTTTCCCTTCTCGTCAGTGAGAGGAAAACTCCAGCACAGATGGACCTGGGGCTGCAGGAGAGCCTGGTGGGGTGGCTCAAGCCACTTTGTATTCCATGATGGAGACTCTGCTCTCTGGCTCTCACTGGCAATAGGGTGCTGGTCTTGGACTCAAGACCTGAGTGGTTATCCTGGCCCTGACCCTTGCTGGCGAAGTGACCAGGAAAAATCACTTACTCTGTGCTTCAGTTTGCTTTCTTGTAGGATGAAGCTTGTCATTACGAGTCTTTCTCCAGTCCTAAAATGTCACACGAACAGCCCCACATATATCCTCACAACAGTCTGGGGCTGGACAGTCTGGAGTGGAAGGGACCATGATGGGTTTGTGGGACCAGATCTCTTACAATCTCAACTCAAATAAGACATGAAGTAAGAGTGAAGCATGCAGAACCTATATCCGATTGCTTACTGTCTCAGGCAGGGGGGAGAAAGGGATAGAATTTGGAACTCAACAATTTACCAAAAAATGTTAAGAATTGTAATTGGGGTGGGGGGAATAAAACACGTAAAAATAAGAGTGGTGTCAGGTGACCTCAAACAGAGCATTTCTTGGGGGAGACAGGAAAGGGGCTTGGAGACAGGAGAGAGGGAGACAGAAAGCATCATTGTCCTCATCCTTGTTGGCACCTGGTGGGAGGTACTATGCTATCATAATTCCCATTTTACAGATGTGGAAACTGACCCTCAGAGAGGTGAAATGACTTGCCCAGGTTGCCCACATGGTGTCAGATGCACAATTAAAATCCAGTTCACTGCTGCATCTTCATGAACAGAGAAAAGCAGGCAGTTGTAGTGGAGAAAAGAAAGACTCAGAAGAGTCAGAGAGGAGGGGTGAGTGGAAGAACATTCCTCCAGGAGGAAGCAAGGCCTGAGTGACATGTGGTGGTCAGGAGCACATTTGGGGCTCTCCCTGAAGAGGCAGGACCTGGCTCTTTGAGGGACTCAGGAGCTGCTCTCCCCGCCCAAGGAAGAGAGCATGGTGGCTCCCAGGTTGGTCAGGGGAGAGAGCAGCTGGTGATGATCTCAGAAAAAATGGAAGCCAGTGGGTCCTGACCAGACTATTTGTCCCCCTAGAACAGGGGTGGGGAACCTTTTCATGTTGGAAGGCCACATTAATATTTAGCTGTAATCAAATAAGGATGCATTCAAGAAACTTCAATTAGATATACCTAAAAATGTACATTATTTTGTAAAAATCTAACTACTATGTACTTAATAATTTCAAAAAATGAAAACTGTCTGTTAATTTTAAAGTTAACTAACCTTTTAATGATTTTGATGGGTCTGCTTTTTGTTAGAAAGCTTTTGAATATTTGGTTGCAGCACAGAGGCTCTCAGTTTCAGTTGGTCCTCTAGGTGGGTATCAGTCATTTGTGACCTTAAGAGCATCTTGATTGGGGCTAGGTGGGAGAACGTAGATTCATAGAAATAAGTGCTTGAAAAGCAAGAAAGCATTTTTTGGGCATGTTGCTGAGGCTATGGGTATTCTACTGTATTTCTCCATATTTCAACTGGATCTTTCTTAGCATCTAACAATGACTTTAAAATGTAATCTACTGAGAACTCAATCAGTTCCATCTGTAGTTCTTTAGGTGCCTTGGTGATATCAACTAGGTGAGGCTGAAATGCTAATTTGAGTGTGATATTATGATTCTCAAAGTCAGTGAATCTTTCATTGTATTCTCCAATCAAGAGGTGAATAACAGCTGCATATTCTTCAAATAATTCGAATATCTCATCCTGCTCATCAATGACCTTTGCTAAGTGGGAAAAATGTTCATCTGAAATTTCATTTTGAAGAAGTGTTTTGAAAAAAAGATAGCTTTTTTGCAAAATGCTTGGATTTTTTTTTGCCACATATCATGTATAAACTTAATTTTACCTTGCAAAGACATATTCAAGTCATTTTAATTTGATGTGATATCACACAGAAATGCAGCATTCTCGTAGAAATCTTCTTTCAATAATTCACATTTCTGATTCTGTTCTTCATCTGTTCTTACAGAGATAAAATTTTGACTAACACCTGTCCCTGCAATAGCCAATGAGCTTTAGAATGAAATGGCAAATCCACACCGAATGCCTCATTGTTCAACTTTAGCATGTTACAAAACTGATGATGCCGTATTGTATTTGCATGAATATAGTTAACAATACTTATAACTTGTTTCAAAGTGTCACTTAAAATAGTAACTTTAACACAGAGATTTTGCTGATGTAAGACACAATGAAAAGAAATGAGAGCATCTGGATCTGTTAATGCTTTCTCTTTTTTTCATATGTGGGATAACCCTTCATGTTTTCCTGTCGTGAAAGGTGCACCATCTGTACACACACTCACTAAATTTACCAAATTCAGTCCAGCTTCATGACATTTATCTTGAAAGTTGTTGAAGATATCAATTCCCCATGTTCTGTTTGCAAGAGTGGCCAAAGCAAGTAACCCTTTGTAACAGAGAAAATTTTCTATTATGGCCTGAATGAAGTATAAAACCTGCATTGAGTCAGTAGTATCAGTTGATTCATCCAGAACAATTGAATAATAATTATTTTCCTTTTGAAGTATTGCATGCAGTTGTTCTGTTAAGTTGAAGATTAATTTATGCTGCCAGTCAGTTATGGTTCTCCTTGAAAGAGGCAGTTGTTTGTACTTTGAAACACTATCGGGGGTCTAAGAATCCCACAACTTCCACAATGCATTCTTTCACAGTTCATACATCACTGAATGGCTTACCTTTTTTTCCCCCAAGTATATAAGCTACTTTATAAGTTGCTTCAGCGGCATTATTTCCAGGTCTTATTGCTGCCTGAAAGAATTGTCTTTGCTTTTGCTTTTCATCTTTTAATTTCAGCAACACAACCTTTCATGCTTCTCCCTCTAATTTAAAATATTTGTGTTCCTCATGAGTGTTATAATGCTGATGAGCATTGAATTTCTTTAATGTTGATATTGCAGTATCACAAAGCAAGCAAATCATCTTATCTGTAGCAGAAACAAGATAATATTGCAATTCCCAATCCTCATTTAAAAAAATCTGTTTTCTCCCTTCAGCTTTCTCTTGGTCTTCTTTGACATGATGGGCTATTAAGCAGACAGAATTAAAAAATACTGTCAAGCTGTGCAACTATTCACAAATTTCCACTTCAAACAGAAACACTGTGCACCGTTGTCAAAAGCTGATAACAGTCCAGCAAACTCCACCCCCATAAACCTTCACCAACAAGCCTCATGTGGTAGTGGCACCAGTCATGAGGAGGAAGTTTAGAACTAAATAATGAGTGTAGCAGCCATCGATTTAGCCCTTATGACTTACTAATGTTCTAATTGTTCTGGTCAGTCTGGAGGATTATTTTGTTGAAATTTATTTTATTCTTTGGTATTTTGAATACTTTCATTTTAAAAATAAAATATAAATATAAAAGATGAACAAGAATGTATTAATAAAAATAAAAGGATTCAGTCAAAAAACTGCACGTAAGGACCTAGAAGGCCACATGTGGCCTTAAGGCTGCAGGTTCCCTACCCCTGTCCTAGAACAATAGAGAGCTCTTATTTTCCAAAAGCATGTGTCCAAAGTGGGACAGAAATCTCCACCCAGACCAAACCAGACTGAACCCCAAATATGCACTGCCGCCTGCTTCTGGTGGTGGTCATGGGCACCAATGATTGCCCCACTTTGAGGAAGATTGTGAAGTTTTAGTTAAGCAACTGAAAATATCAGGAAGAAAGGCAGCCCTCTCTGCATTACTGCTCACCACAGTTCACCTGTCTCCTCCAGCTCATCCTTAGAAGACTCACTTCACTGTATCTTCCTTCAGGGCTCAGTTCAAAAGGCTGGCCTATCCTGATCTTCCCAGCTAACAGTGCCCACTTCTCCCTACCCCATTACTTTGAATTTACTTATCAGCAGCTGCCCTGTTTACTTACAATAGAACATAAGCTTTCTGTGTGCAAGACTAACTTCACTTTTGTATTGTTTTCCCCAGCTCCCAGCCCAGAGCTTGGCACATAGTATGCATGAATGAAGCAAAAATATATTTTTTGTAGGGAGGACAGAATATTTAGACCTGGGAAGTCACAGGAATAATGAGAAGAAAAATAGCACAGTCAACTGCTATTCCTCTTTCAGATGAAATGGCCTTTTTGAAAGTGTTCCTGGGACCAGCAAGAGCACGGCAGGAAAATGGCCACAGAGAGGCGGGGGTTGGAGTCAGCTACTTGAGCTTGCCCACCATGGTCACCCCTTAGGGCAGAAGTGCCACAGGGCATCGAGCAAGCACTTAAATGAGCCCTGAATGAATGGATTTAGAAAGTGACAATAGTGTCTGAGGAGTGAATTAGGATTTGGGGAATGACCAGCTCCTGACCTGGCCCAAGGTTCTGGGAAGATTCAATCTTCCTAGAGTCATAAAAGGGTTGGATTTCATCAACCAGTCCACAAGCATTTATTAAGCACTCACTATGTGCCAGGTATCAGGCTAAGCCCTGGGAATAAAAAGAAAGACAAGAAGATGGTCCTGTCTCAAGGAACTCACAGTCCAATGGGAGAGAAAACTTATTCACAAACATGAACAAACACACTCCATCCAGGACACACTGGAAGTCACCCACAGGGGGAAGGTGCCAGAAGGAAGGGAGTTGGGAAAGGCTTCTTGTAGATGAAGCCTGGGATTGTGGCTGAAATAGAAGGGAAGTTAGGAGATGGAGACAAGCAATCCAGGCATGGAGCACACCCAGTTGCAAATACAGAGTTAGGAGAGTTTTGTGCAATGACTAGCCAAGAGGTCAGTATCACCAGACTGAATGGAGGTGGCTTAGAATGGGGAGAGACTGGAGGCAGGCAGACCCACCCCCATCCCTACTGCCCCTACCAGCAGGCCATGGCAATAGTCCAGGTGAGGTGAGGTGACCAGGGTCTGCATCAGGGTGAGAGAAGGGTCAGAGCAGGGAAGGAGACACATACAAGGGATGTTATTAAGGTACAACATGACATGACTCCATATTGCGTATGGAGAAAAGAACCTTTGGGGTGGATGGGACCAGGACTTCTGACCTTGAAAGAAGGTAGAACTTCATCCTCACTGGTTCCCCGTCCTCTGCCAAGGAGAGTGACCTTTCCCTTGGCAATGACAGAGCAACACTGAGTCACAGGGTGTTAGTCCCCAGCAGAAGCAAGGCTGGAGTGAGAGGGCAGCCCCCATGAACCCTGGGGGTGGGGGTGGGGGCTCTGGAGAGGTAAAGACTGGGCAGGGGACTTGGCCTCACTTAAGAAGAGGCCTTTTGATCAGGCAGATCTTCTGCTAGGCGCTTTGCCCCTGGCTCCGCCTCCTGCCCCTTCTGTACCCAGGATGGAACAAAGCCATGCGCCTCCCTGGGTTTCCCTCCAAGACTGTGAAAGAGTTCAACTGCTTCATGCTGCGGAGGCAGCACAATAGGAGAACACCTGCTCTCAAGGAATCACCATGTGCTGGGGAGGAGGTTCTAGGGATTGGTGCACTCAGTGCGTTCCAAAAGAACAAGGACTGCTGGAAACAGGGAGAAATTTGGTTGGCTTGGCAGCATCCTAGCAAACACCACCAGTTCTTCACCTCAGGCTCCCAACTCTGCCTGTAAAAATAAGCAGGAGCTAGTGTTCGGGGAAGGAGTGGACAAGCCTGCAGCCCCGGGGGGTGGGGTTGGCCAGTAAGCCTGCCTCTGGGGTACAGATGGAGCCACTTTTCTCCTCCGATTTTGTGACAACCGCCTTAGTGGCTGAGGTAGCCAAGTCTGACATTGGAGAGAACTAATCACTAGATCCAGTGGATTGGACCTGTCTCAAGGGGCAGGGCCCAGTTATCTACAGAGTAGCCAATTTCGGAATCCAAGGGACAGTCAAAGGTCTGTTTCAGAGTCTGGGAATACGCTACTTGTGGTCTGTCCATTGGGCGACTGCACAATTGGCCTGCCATAGTGGCTGTGACTTCCTTTCCTTATAACAAATGTGCTCATTCCCCCACTGACCACATCCAAAAATGGATCTCATTCTGCATGTCTCATGTGCCACCTCTCTGTCAGGAGGTGGCCAGCATTCCCCATCACTGTCCTCTGGAATAGGGTTCATCGCTGTTCTTAAATTGTTGATTGTCTTGACCTTGATACCGATATTTCAAAAGTTGTCTCTGCTTGATTCCCTCTGCATCTGTCCAGACGGGTCTTCTCAGGTTTCCCTGATGGACTAGTCTGACCACTGGTCTCCCTGTCTCAGATCTCTCCCCACCTGAGCCCATCCTCCACTCACCTGCCAAAGCGGTCCTCCCAAATCGATCTTAGTAACCTGTGTCTCCCAGTCCCAGGCACTTTCAATGGCTGCCTCCCATGCCTGGTACTCTCTCCCCCTCCCCTCTCTGCCTTTCCTGATATAGCTTCCTTTTGGTGCCTTCCTTCCATTGGTGAACTCTGATTTATCTTGTATGTATCTTGTCTGTCCAGAGGCATTGTACCTTCTGTGACCTTGGTATCCAATAGACTGGGAGCTCCTTGAGGGCAGGGGCTGGTTTTTGCCTTTCTTTGTATCTCCAGCACTTAGCACAGTGCTTGGTACATTTGTTGTTCAGTCATTTCAGCCGTGAACACTCTCTGTGACCCCATTTGGGATTTTCATGGATACTGGAAGGGTTTGCCATTTCCTTCTTCAGCTCATTTTATAGATGAGGAAACTGAGGCAAACAGGATGAAATGACTTGCCCAGGGTCACACAACTAGTAAGTGCCTGAGGCCAGATTTGAGCTCAAGTCTTCCTGACTCCAGGCCAACCGCTATATCCACTGCCCATCCTGGCACATAGTAGGTGCTTAATCCATGTTTATTAACTGACTCAGCAACAACTAGACTGGCATAACGTTGCTTCATTCTCATTTGCCACCCACCACCCTCCATAGCCACTCCCACATGCGACAAGCCTTATTACGGTTTATCAGAACCCTGCTCTCAGAGACGGAGAAGAGACTACTCATGGCCAGCCAGGTATGCCTTTCTTGGACCATGCAGCCATGCAGAGCATGCAGCCCCTCTACCTTTACAAGAGTAGGAGCTGGCATCCTGACCCTGGCCCCAGTCTCAAGGTCCAGTCCTCTTTCTAGTGCCCCACTCGACCCCTCCAGGACATCGAAGTGCCTGATCTTACCAGCCAGGTTCATGGGCAGACAAAAGAGGGACTTGTTGAGGTGGGGTGGTCCTGTGCTGGTGTTGGCCAGCAGACACATCCAGTCAGCTTGGCTCCCAGATGTTGTCCACATCTTGCTACCATTGATGATATAATCATCCCCTTTGAGCACAGCCTTTGTCTTGATACCTGTTGGCAAAAGAGGAAAGAGGAAGACAATGACTTTCCACACTCCAATTAATCTGGAAAGGCTGTGAGAATGGTTAAGGGATTCTGATCTGGGAGGTGCCTCAGGGGCTGTTGTTAATCAGCCAATTAACAAACATTTACAAGCACCTCTTCTGTCCTTTGCCTTGCTAAATTCTGGGGGGACAAAGGCAAAAATGGAAGCAGTCACTGCCATCGAATGGGTTATATTCTTTTTTTTTTTATTAATTTATTTTGATTTATCAATAATCACTTCCATATGCTATTGAGTTTAAAATTTTCTCCACCTCCCTCCTCTCCTCCCTCCCCAAGACAGTGTGCAATCTGATATAGGCTCTATGTATACATTCTTATTAATCGTATTTTCACATTAGTCATGTTGTAAAGAAGAATTAGAATGCATGGGAGGAACCATGAAATAGAAGAAACAAAATTAAAAAGAGAGAGAGTGAGCAAAGATTGTGTTTTGATCTGCATTCAGACTCCATAGTTCTTCCTCTGGATGTGGATAGCATTTTCCATCATGAGTCTTTTGGAGTTGCCTTAAATCTTTGTATTACTGAGAAGAACTAAGTCTATCAAAGTTAGTCATCATCAAATTACTTTTATGACACAAATATGGTGCTTATACTTAAACCAGGAATAGACAACTCAGAGAAAGAAAATTATAGACCAATTTCCCTAATGAATACTAATGCACAAATTTTAAATAAAATACAAGCAAAGAGACTATAGCACTATATCACAAGGATCATACACTATAACCAGGTGGAATTTATACCAGGAATGAAGGGCTGGTTCAATATTAGGAAAACTACCAACACAACTGACCATATTGTAACAAAACCAACAGAAATCATATGATTATCTCAATAGATGCAGAAAAAGCCTTTGACAAAATACAGCACCCATTCCTACTAAAAACACCATAGAGTGTGGGAATAAATTGAGCTTAATTTAAAATGATAAGTAATATTCATCTAAAACCATCAGGAAGCATTATCTATAATGAGGGTAAGCTAGAAGCCTTCCCAATACAATCAAGGCTGAATCAAGAATGCCCATTATCACTTCTATTATTCAATATAGTACTAGAAATGTTAGCTATAGCAATAAGAGAAGAAAAAGAAATTGAAGGAATTAGAATAGTCATTGAGGAAACAAAACCATCACACTTTGCAGATCATATGATGTTAATACTTAGAAAATTCTAGAGAATCAATTAAAAAACTACTTGAAATTATTAACAACTTTTGCAAAGTTGGAGGATAAAAAAATAAACCCACATAAATCATCAGCATTTCTATATATTATCAATAAAGTTCAGCAGCAAGAGGTAGAAAGAAAAATTCCATTTAAAATAACCATAGACAATATGAAATATTTGGAAGTCTACCTGCCAACACAAACCCAGGAACTATATGAACACAACTATAAAACACTTTATGAAATAAAGTCAGATCTAAAACAATTGGGAAAATAATAATTGCTCATGAGTAGACTAAGCCAATTTAATAAAAATGACAATTCTACTTAAATTAATCTATTAATTCAGTTCCATATCAATTGAACAATCAGAAAATTATTTTGTAGAACTAGAAAAAATAACAAAATTCATCTGGAGGAACAAAAACATAAGGATATCAAGGGAATCAATGAAAAAAAAATTAGAAAGAAGGTGGTATAGCCATACCAGATCTCAAACCATACTATAAAGTGGTAATTATCAAAACAATCTGGTACTAGCTAAGAAACAGAGTGGTGGATCAGTGGAATAGATTAGGTATAAATTACATTATAGTAAATTACCATAGTATTCTAGCATATGATAAACCCAAGGATCCAAGCTTTTGGAACAAAAACTCATTATTTGACAAGAACTGCTGAGAAAACTGGAAAACAGTATGACAGAAACTAGGTATAGACCAATATCTCACACCTTATACTAAGATAAGGTCAAAATGGGTGCATGGTTTACACAAATGGTGATACCATAAGCAAATTAAGAGAGTATGGAATAGTTTATCTGTCAGCTTTATGGATAAAGGAAGAATTTAAGACCAAAGAAGATATAGAGAGCATTACAAAATGTAAAATAGATAATTTTGGTTATAGAAAATTAAAAAGGTTTTGCACAAACAAAACCAATGCAACCAAAATTATAAGGGAAGCCAATGGGGGGGCAATTTGCAACAACTATCTCTGATAAAGGCCTCATTTCTCAACTATATAGAGAACTGAAGCAAATCTATAAAAACACAAGTCATTCCCCAATTGATGAATGATCAAAGTATATGAACAAGCAGTTTTCAGACAAAGAAATCAAAACTATCTATAGTCACATGAAAAAATGCTCTAAATCACTATTCATCAGAGAAATGCAAATTAAAACAACTCAGAGGTACTCCTTCACACCCATCAGATTGACTAATAAGACAAAAAAAGGAAAATGTTGGAAGGGATGTGAGAAAACTGGGATATTAATGCATTGTTGGTGGAGTTGTGAACTGATCCAATCATTCTGGAGAGCAATTTGGAATTATGCTCAAAGGGCTATAAAACTGTGCATACCCTTTGATCCAGCAATACCACTGCTAGGTCTATATCCCAAAGACATCCCCTAAATGGGAAAAAGATCTATTTGTACAAAAATATTTACAACAGCTCTTTTTGTGGTGGCTAAGAACTGGAAATCAAATGGATGCCCATCAATTAGGGAATGGCTAAACACGCTGTGGTATATAATTGTAATGGATAGTGTTGTGCTATAAGAAATGACAAGCAGAATGATTTCAGAAAAATCTGGAAAATCTTACATGAACTGATACATAGTGAAGTGAACAGAACCAAGAGAACATTGTACACAGTGACAGCAATATTGTTCAATGAAGAACTGTGAATGACTTAGCTATTCTCAGCAATACAATGATCCAAGACAAACCCAAAGGACTAATGACGAAGCATGCTATCTGCATCCCAAGAAAGAACTCATATTGTCTGAATACAGACTGAAGCAGGCTGTTTTTCACTTTCTTTCATTTTTTTCCTTTGTTTGAGACTTCTTATACAAAATTACTAATATGGAAATTTTTTACAGAATTGCACATGCATAACCTATATCTAGTAGCTTACTGTCTCAGGGAGGGGGTGAGGGAGGTGGGGGGCAGATAGAATTTGGAACTAAAAACTTTAAATAAAAATGTAAAAAAAACTGCTAATAGGCAAAAAGGAGAAATCAACAGATTATCTAGATATGCCAAACATCACATCAAATGTATATAAAATATTAATATTTAATAAATCTATGTGAAATTTTAAAAAGTTATGCCCTTTTGTTAGCTATAGTCCAGGCTCTCTCCACCAAATCTCTGGGAGGTCCCATTTGCCTCCTTGCATTAGAATCTGAAGTTCCTCCTTTTTTAAACTCCTCTTTTATAAATTTATGGATAGACATGGAGTAAGATGAGTTTTACTACTGGCTCCTTTCTTGGACTTTAATACCTTTTTTGAAGTTCTGTGTGTCTCAGCTGCCATTCTTTCTACATTGTAGATGCTTTCTATAGTAGCCCTTCATTGGATAGACATGAGAAGTTACCCCCCTCCCCCTTTTCTTCTTACTTTCAAAACATTTTGATTCAATTTGTAAACCACTAGGCAAATGCATCCTTAAGGAGCCCCCATTGGTTAGTTACTCTCTATTCCTGGTCAGAAGCCTGTTATTCATACATTTTTAAGAGAATGGTCGAAGATTCCAGATATCACTCTCATATATCATCTTTCTAGCCAATGGTTCATTTTCCAAATCTTGCTTTTGAATTTGTATCCCTAGTTCTTGGCACATAGAAATGATTCACTTTTGTTTTATGATTTGTCTCTGTTCTGTCCATCCACCTCTTTTGAATCCCTCACTTTTCATGACCATTGTTTCTGAGGTCTTGCTCCTTCCTAAAAGGAACCCCAGGAATCACCCAACACTCCCAGTTATGGCTGTCATTTAGCACCCAAGGGGAGGCAGCCCCAATAGCTGCTCACATCTTCCATTGTTCTCAATCGTCTATATAACCAGCATCACCTAACGAGGACGTTCGAAAAAGAAAGGGGTGAGCCAACACAGACGACTCAGCAGCCTCCATTATAGGGTAACAAGGCTCATCAATAGAACTCGGGAGAATCTACAGGTCTGTCACATGCACTCATTCACTCACTTGCAACATCAGAACCTGCTCCGGGCTCACTGACTCCAAGGCAGGCCACAAAATCTCCAGCAATGGATGGAACCAGGAATTGCTGCTTTAGCTCTTCGGCCCCAAACCTGAAAGTGGAAGAAAAGAACATGAAGAATTCAGGGCTAAAATTGTTTGGGAAAACAGAGTTTTCCCTGCACCAGGAGCCCACAGGCAATTCTAGGCTGTTGGAATAGCTGTGTGTATGTACATGTGTGCTGGTGCTTCCTCTTCACTTTTGAAACCACAAGATAAGAGGTAAAGGTCTTTCCGATACAACCCTTTCGAGCTGTCTAGCCCCACACATGTGCTCAGAAGCTTGAAGACCATGAGGAGTCAAGATGACAGTAATGGAAGATGAGTGATTTGATGCTTAGCCCTTAGAGAAGGCAATCTTCAGTAATCAAACCTGTCAAGGGACCTTACCTGTACAGGTAAGCTTATTAAGAAAGGAAGATAGACAAATGACAGATAGATAGATAGGATATGAATATGGATATTGCAGGAATAGATGTGTGCAATATGTAATATATACACATAATCCAAGAATTGTGAAGTAATGAATCTACATCAGTCAATCAACTACCTGTGCTAACAGCTTTGAGGGGTGAAAAGCATCTCTCCAACTAAATTAACTGATAAAAAGGCCACACTCTGGTACCATAATCATGTGAGAACTCTTTTCAATGGAATCAGCTCAATTAAAGACATTCCAACTAAGTGTGAAAAGGCCTTGATCAATGTAGACCTCTCCAATGTGTCATTGAATGAACTGGAAGTCTATTCAGATCAACTGAGGAAGCTTGGTCATGACCCAGGGAGGCATGCTTGTGAACATACCTTTCAAGGGCAGGGGTGGCCATGTCAGTCTGCAAGATGATGGCCATGGCAATGCCCATTGCACTGATATTCCCCAGTTCTTCGACCACTGCAATTTGATGAGATAACTCCAAGTTCTGGCCTCCATACTCTGCCAAGGAGGAGAGAGGTGAGGTCAGTGATGACAGCTGGACATGACACTCCTCCCTCCAGGGACCTTGGCATGCCTGGCAGTGAGATGAGCACACTCACCTGTTCCTGTTTGCCCCAAGAGCTCTACCATGGTGCTGTAAGTGGAGCATGTGATAGGACACCCAATAGGTGCTGAATAAATGTTTGTTGGATGAAAGACCTTTTAGAATCTTCTCAGTATGTTTCCTGAAGTGTGGCACCCAGAATTAAACAGAATCCTGCATCACCCTCAGGAGGGGGAAGGAAGGGGAGCCCATCCTCTCCCCATTCCTGATGAAATGGTCACTCAGTGGAGCCCAAGCCTGGGCTTGGTCTTGGCCTGCAGTGCCCTCCTTTGAGATCTCTGTCCTGTGAAGCCCTCAGGGCTCTTTCACTGCCCTTCCCCCATCCTGTGTTTGTGCATTGGACCATCTGAACCCACAGGTAGGAGTTGACATTTGTCACTAAATAGCACAGTATTCCATTCTGCCCTGAAGATTCTGGCCTGAAAAATCAAGGGTTAGCTGACTAAGGGCCCTTCTGACTTTTTTTGTCCTGCCATTGTCCAAGTGTTTTTGCAGTCTTGTCAAGTGACTAAAGATCATTCCAGATGGACATGGCACTGATCCCAGCACTGCCAGCAGGAGAAGAGTGGGCTGGGTAGCTGCAGAGGTTTCACTCTGAAAGAGTCTGATGGTCTAGTTAACACCAAGACAGTTAAACCAGCTGTGTGATCCTGGGCAAGTCACTTAGTCTCCCATTGCCTCAGTTTCCTCAACTGTAAAATGGAGGAAATTGTAGCACCTGCCTTGTAGGGTTGTTGGGAGAATCAAATGGGATCATATTGGTTAAGTGTTTAGCACAGTGACTAGCAAATAGTAGGCCTGCTCCAGATCTAGCCTATTGGGAGACCCACCATCCCACCCTGCCAAGTCAAAGTTCTGCTGCCACAGATTGGGCAAATGCAGAAGACATAATTACAAAATATAGGACTTAATCTATAAGAATAAAGACTCTAAAATTTTTGAGAGGTCAGGGAAGGCCATGCGGTGCTGTAGATAGCATGAGATGTGGAGTCAGGGGCTCTGGGTTCAAATTCTGGTTCTGCCATTTGGGATGCCTGAGCCCCAGTTTCATCTATAAAATGAAGGCATTCCACTAGATAGAGATCTGTGGCCATTGTGTCATGCAGTCCCTAAGCTTGGGGAAGAATGACAAAAGTCTGTAAGCAAGTACAAGACCTGGAGCTGTGACCCTGACTAAATATGGGATGCCATTAATGCAGGACCAGCCTGTGAGAGCCTGGAATGATGACCATCCACATACTCATCTTGGCAATGCAAATAAAAATATGGCACTGCCCTGGAGCCCAGGTGGCTTCTTCTCTGCCTCTCCTTCTCTACTCAGTGCATGTCCCTCCTCGGCTGAGGGAGGCAAAACGCCCTCTTTGGACCTTCTTCAGGAGAGAGAGGAAGGCAAAAAAGTAGATTTGGGAATTGTCTGTAAAGAAATGATCATCATGGGAGGTGAATACCAAGGAAGTCTGGAGAAAAAGAAGAGACAAGGCCCTTCAAGGGAAAGCGGGAAGGGGGACACCCCACATGCTATGGCTGTGACACGACTGATATTCTAACAAAGGAGGCTGAGAACTGAAGTCAGACAGGGAGGAGAACAAGAGGTCATGACAACCCAGAGAAGAGAGAGGATCAACAGTGTCTAAGACTGGACAGAGCCTGGGAATGGCCATCAGTTGGAGAGTGTAAGGATTCATTAGAGGGGGAGCCAAAGCCCAGCTGCAGGATGTCCTTAATAAGGTGAGCAGGGATGACGAAGGTGAGCCAGAGAGAGCAGACTCTGCTGTAGGGTTTGGAAAAGGTGACGGGATGATTGATACCTTGAGGGATGGCAGGATCAATGAAGAGTCTTTGTAGTTGCTGGTTGGATTTTTAAGGTTTGGAGAGATCTAGGCATGTCTGTCAGTAGCGAGGAAGGAGCCAGACTGAAGACGGGGCCTGGGGTAGAGGAGGTGGGGAAATAGCATGGGGAAAGACTTCCAGAGGAACCTGGGATGGAGAGCACCTCTTCCGCACCTCCCAGGAAAGCATGGCTGGCGGTGTGAAGACAGGATGGGGAGATGAGAGCATTTGCAACAGATAGCCTTGGTTTTCTCTGCTGAGAGACAGGAGGTTGGAAACGGGAGTGTTTGGGGCCAGCTGCTGAGGGGAGTGTCCGCCAGGTGAAAATCAAAGGGCACAGGAGGAAACCCAGGAACCAGGGGAGCTGTAGCTGAGTAGGCAGGTGGCAAGGTGACCCAGTGTGAAGGACTGCCGTCCACCTCCTGACCCACAGCAGTTGCTGATAATGTCACTAATGGCCTCCAGTTCATCATGGATATCTTCCTCACCTTGTCCTGGAGCACCTTGGGCAGCCCCAGAGCCCAAGACAACTAGATTCTTCAGAGACTCAGCCCTGGTGCCACTCCCACCCCCAGTCCTCCCTGGGCTGTGCCCAAGCTGAAGCCCCCTGCCCCAACTCCTGAGCACAGTTTTCCTCTTGGTAGCAGTTCTTCCTAGGAGTACAAGTGTTGACAGAAGGACCCACTTTCTCCTCAACCATCTCCCAAGTCCTGAACTTCCTTACGAATCAATTGAACAGTTGGGGGAATTACAAAATTATCTCAGGCTATTATTTTTCGTTATCTCTCAGGGAAGGGGGCTGGAGAGGACGGCACTCCCTGGGCAGGCTGGGCATCGAAATATGGGTGTATGTGTTAGTCTGGTTAGGGCCTGGAAGAGAAGCCAGAGAGGCTTGGGGTGGGGGACAGTTCCTCCTCTCCCCCTCCCTCTCTGCTCTGCTGAGAACACATCTGCCTTCAGAGCCTCCTTCCTTGGAGGCTGAACTGGGGAAGCTGCTCATTCAGCACAGGAAGCCCAGCTTGGAAAGGAAACATGGCCCTATCCTGATAAATATCAGGAAACTGCTTTGTGTTTCCGGCTGCCTAAGCCAACCCCCCCGCCCCCGAATGTTGTCATGTTCTTCTAGAGCAAGGCAGGAGCTGCAGAGCCATGCGTCCACCTCCCCAACTGGAGGCTTCCTCCGGGGCCTGACCCTGAATCCAGAAGCCTCCCTCTCTCTCCTCAGGCCAGGTTGGACTTTGGGGCATGTACAAACATTCTGTTCCTGGTCCTGCTCTGCCAACCACATGGTAAAGAGCAGTCTCTAAAACTGGCTGTGTGACCAGAACTGGGAGTGACAGTCAATCGCCCAGAGCTCGTCCCTTTCCTTAGGCAACTTCTTCCTGCCTGATAGGGCAAGAAAGCCCCAGTGTTGTAGGGGGAGGTGCCTTGGAGCTTCCCCCATCAGTGGGGGACATGATAGTGGCCCATGAATAGGGACTGCTGTTCTTTGCCTCAGCGCCAAAGGGAAGGAGGTTGGAGTCCACAGCCTAATGGGTTTCGAAAGGTCCAAGTTCACGTCCAACCTCGAGGCCATGAAGATCCAGGAGTGACCTTCAACCTCTGGGCCCCACCATTGAGGCGAAGATAAGGGGTCACCCTGTGTCAAGACCATATTTGGACATGAACTTGGTGAGAACAAATCAATACTGTACAGAAACTGCCTTAACTTTGGGCCCCTTGTCCCCAGAGGTGATGTGAAGTAGCAGGGAATGTGACCATCCCCCCCACACACACACTGTACAGGGAGACGGTTCTGACTACGTCTTTCCATATCCCTTTGTAAAAAGAAAGGGAGGTGAAATAGAAGCAGGACACTCAAGGCTAACTGAGGAGGGAAACCACATCAGAACGTGGTGCCAGTCAATAGCAGTAGAGGGAGACAACCCCAGTCCCTCAGGGGTATCTGTAGAACCCCTGAGAGGGAGAGGAGGTGGAGCCCCCCTGACTTTGGGAGAGTGAGACCAGATCATACTCACTGCTGAGGGATGGAAGACAATGTCTTAAAATACCCTCAAATCCCTCAGCCTAAGCCAGGTTGTCACATCCCATTAGAGAAGCAGCTACTGAGATCAGAAGGAAGGTCTGAGCCTGGCTGAGCACCCTCCTAGGCCTGCCCCCTCCTCACACTAATTCTCCTTTGCCCTTTCCTATTAGTCCTCTGCATTCTGCTAAGTCAGCATTTCCTGGGCCATTGTGAGTCAAACTGATGGGATCTGTCCACTGATGCCTGAGGTCAGGCAGTTCTTGGAACTCCTCCCTCCCCCAAATGCTCCAGAAAGAGGAGAAAAGTCTTTCTGGCCTCAAGAGAATGGTCCAGGTCTGGGCTTTGATCAACTCTCATTGGGACTCACAGTAAGTCGCAGAAAATATGGTTCTGCATGAATTGCCAGGGACCATCTCCTTAAAGCATACTATGTGTGAGCACTAATTTTCAAAGACAGCATTTGAAACAGCAGTTCACTGACTCAGTGTTTCAGCTGAACCACACATATCTCGCCCCCCCCCTCTTACTCTTAGCTTTGTTCACACCCAGGAAGCCAGCTTGCCCTAGAATCTTGAATATGTGATGGGCTGGGAAGCATCGATCCTCTTCCCATTTGTCCACAAATGGGTTAATCTCCTTATCAATAATCTACAATAAAAAGAAAAACAAAATAAATTTTGTTAGAAAGATGGGATGTTTCCTGCAAGAGCCCCAGTTTCTCTCCTGAAGGTTGCATTAATCCTTAGGCGTTCTGTCTTCCAAGGCCCTGGCACCAGAGACTGAGGCCATTCATGTTGCTGAGTGTTTCATGACCAACATCAATCTTGAATGAGTCTCCCCCATTACAGAAAGAAATCCTATTCATTTCTTCAGTCTCTGAGGCTGAATAAATAACAAACAGCCTTCTCACTGAATACTGAGTGCCTCTCCTATGATAATCTAGCAGGTTCACCCATGTTAGCTGTCCTGGAACTGTGCTAGACACCATAAGCTTGACACAGTGGAAGACATCGGGGGATGCAGACAGAGCCAGATAGGGAGTGAGGAAGACCTGGGCCCAAGCCCTGCTTGGTCATGCAGTAAGAACACTGGCTGTAGGACCCCAGTGATTCATTTAGCCCTCGATGTTTTGGGTCACTCTCTGAAACCTGAACTGGTGGAAAGAGTTCACTGGGGGTTCCCGCACAGATGAAATCAGAAGTTGAATCCCCCCTTCTACTCGTGATAATTACCTATGGTACAGAAGAACTGTGTACACGTGTGCATGTTTATAAACACATATGCTGGATTAAACACCCAATGTCTCAATATGATTACATAAAATCACTTGGTTTCCCTGTCTCCTGTCCCCTTGCACTTCTGTGTGTGTGTGTGTGTGTGTGTGTGTGTGTGTGTGTGTGTGTTTGGGAGGAGAGGGGACCATATGTAAGGATGGCTAAAGAACACCTATGATAATGCTGCATTTAGGGTCTTCCCCTGCCCTGCTAGGGTATTGAATGGTAGCTCCCTCCCCTTGTGAATGTGGCCAACCAGCGATCTCTGGCATGCTGGGGTCTGATCAGCCTGAGCACCAGCTTTGGACAACAAAAGTGGGCATGCAATTCCTGTGCTTTCTAATGCCATGATTCAATACTCACTGAGTTTGCCATAATTTGTTTTCTCCCCTTAAACACAACACAAACCCCTTCAAATGAGCAGATAACCCTAAATGCCTACAGACTGGCCAGGCAGTTTGACATTCATTTGACAAGTTTTTGTAATGACTAGGTACCAGGCAGGCTCCATGCTGGCCATCAAGGATGCACACACGCCCCAGTCCCTCCCCTCAAGAATTGTGGGAATGAATGAACCACACTGACTCCATCTTGTGACTCAATTCTGTATCTAGCTCAGTTCCCTTTCTATTCAACTATGGGTCTAGTCCAATGTCTGAATTGTGAAAAAACTTTATTCAGCTATGGGAATTGTGAGAAACCTTTATCGCATTGTTTGAACCTAGCCCTGAGGGCTGGGAAGCTGAACTACTCCTACCTGTTGCTTAGAGACCCTCGGTTATGCTGACCAGAAACCTGGTCATCTGCTAAGATTGATGAAAGGAGTTTTCTCACAATTACACATCTCAAGAAACCCATATGTCTTATCTAAAAACTAGCTCTGTCTGGTCAATCAGTTATTGTTTCCATGTTCCTTTAATTAAACACTGGCAGTTGGGGAATGGGGTGTGAGACACCTCTTTTTCTGAATTCAGGGAATTGCACCTGTTCACTCTCCCCCTCCCAACTTGGAAAGCCCCTATTTTTCCTCCAATTAGAAATCAGATTACCTAAGCTTGTATCCTGGTTTATATGCTGTTGTTTACTCTTAATGCATAAAAATCTATTTCTTCTTGTAGGCAGGGTTCAGTGCCAACTTGAGAAGGCCAGGTTCCAACTTGTTATGCAATTAGCATGCATTGCTTGCTCGAACCTTTGTCTCCTCAGTCGTTTCATCTTTTACCTGCCACGTCCCTCAGAATTTTATCATCTCTAGGGCTATTAGAGGGATTCTAATTAGACAAAAGGTCTTGGCGTGATTCTGTTGTTTGGAATGATCTCAAGAGAAGAATGGAAGAATGGGGAAGAAGAATGAACTGGGAAAGAAGGAAGGATGAATGGGAAAATTTATCTCCCAAAAGTGGAGTGAGAAAGAGAGTTTATGCAATGGAGGGGGCACAGGAGGAAAGCAGGCAACACTTACATTTTATTTTCATCTAAACTGGATCAAGGAGGGAAGAAAAAACATGAACAATTGGGTGTAGAAATTCACCTCACCCAACAGGGAAGTAGGAGGGAAAGGGTGAGAGAAGATGGAAAACAGGCCAAAGGAAAGATTAATCAGAAGCAAAACAGACTCTTGAGATGGAGACAGGGTAAAAACAAGAGAAGGATACATATAGGAAAATAAGATGGAGGGAAACACGCAGTTAACAATTACAACTATGAGTGTGAATGGGATGAATTCATGCATAAAACAAGAGACAGCAGAACAGACTAGAAACAAGAATGCAGCAATATGTTTTAAGAAACACAATTGAGGGCAGCTAGGTGGTGCAGTGGATAGCACACCAGCCCTGGATTCAGGAGGACCTGAGTTCAAATCCAGCCTCAAACACATAACATTTACTAGTTGTGTGAGCTTGGGCAAGTCACTTAATCCCACTGCCTAGCCAAAAAAAAAAAAAAGAAAGAAAGAAAAAGAACAAAAAATAAACACATTTGAAACAGAAAGATTCACATAGAGTTAAAATAAGGGTCTGGAGCAGAATCTATTGTGTTTTAACTAAAATAAAAAAGAACTGTGTGGCAATCAGACCAAGCAAAAGCAAAAATAGAACTAATTAAAAGAGATAAAGAGGGAAACTTATTTTGCTAAAAGGTACCATACACAAACTGAATATCAGTATTGGACAAACATATGCTACATAGCACAACATGCAAAGTCTTTTTTTTTTTTAAGATTCATTCATTTATTTATTTTTAGTTTTCAACATTCACTTCCACAAGATTTTGAGTAACAAATTTTCTCCCCATCTCATCCCTCCACCAACCTCAAGACAATGTGCATTCTGAACACCCTTTCCCCTAATCTGCCCTCTCTTCTATCTCTCCCCCTTCTCTTATCCCCTTCCTCTTCTATTTTCCTGTAGGGCAGGATAAATTTCTATACCCCATTACCTGTATATCTTATTTCCCAGTTGTTGGTGGAAACAAATTTTTAACATTTGTTTTTAAAACTTTGGGTTCCAAATTTTCTCCCTTCCTCCCTCTCCACTTACCCTCATTGAAAAGGCAAGCATCTTGATACAGGTTATACATGTGTAGTCATGTAAAACCCTTCCAAAGTAGTCATGCTGTGAAAAACTAACCATATTTCCCTTCATCCTATCCTGCCCCCCCATTTATTCTATTCTCTCTTTTGACCCTGTCCCTCCTCAAAAGTGTTTGCTTCTGATTACCCCCTTCCCTAATTTGCCCTCCCCTCTATCATCCCCACAATCTCAACCCCTTGCCCCCTATTTTCCTGTAGGGTAAGATAGCTTTCCATACCCAATTGAGTGTATATGTTATTCCCTCCTTAAGCCAAATCTGATGAGAATAAGATTCACTCATTCCCTCTCACCATCCCCCACTTCCCTTCCACTGTAAAAGCCTTTTCTTGTCTGTTTTATGTGAGATAATTTACCCCATTCTACCTCTCCCTTTCTTCTTCTCCCAGTATAATCCTCTCTCACTGCTTAATTTTATTCTCCAGATATCACCCCTTTATCTTCAATTCATCCTGTGTCCTCTATCTATCAATCTATCTATACATACAATTTTTTTCCCCTCCAACTACCCTAATACTGACAAAGGATTCATGAGTTACAAATATCATCTTTCCATGTAGGAATGTAAACAGTTCAACCTTAATAAGTCCCTTATGATTTCTCTTTCTTGTTTATCTCTTCATGCTTCTCTTGAGTCTTATATTTGAAAGTCAAATTTTCTATTCAGCTCTGTTTTTTTCATCAAGAATGCTTGAAAGTCCTCTATTTCACTGAATATCCATTTTTCCCCTGAAGGATTATTCTCAGTTTTGCTAGGTAGGTGATTCTTGGCTATAATCCTATCTTCTTTGCCCTCTGGAATACCATATTCCAAGCCTCTGTGGTCCCTTAATGTAGAAGCTGCCAAATCCTGTGTTATCCTGATTCTGTTTCCACAGTATTTGAATTGTTTCTTTCTGTCTGCTTGCAATATTTTCTCCTTGACCTGGGAAGCCTGAAATTTGGCTACAATATTCCTAGGAGTTTTCCTTTGGGGGTCTCTTTCAGGAGGTGATCAGTGGATTCTCTCAATTTCTATTTTGCCCTCTGGTTCTAGAATATCAGGGCAGTTTTCCTTGATAATTTCTTGAAAAATGATGTCTAGGCTCTTTTTTTTGATCATGGTTTTCAGATAGTCCAATAATTTTTAAATTCTCTCTCCTGGATCTATTTTCCAGGTCAGTTGTTTTTCCAATGAGATATTTCACATTGTCTTCTATTTTTTCATTCTTTTGGATTTGTTTTACAATGTTTTGATTTCTCATAAAGTCACTAGCTTCCAATTGCTCCATTCTAATTTTTAAGGAAGTATTTTTTTTTGGACTTCCTTTTCCATTTGGCCAATTCTGCTTTTGAAGGCATTCTTCTCTTCATTGACTTTTTGGACCTCTTTTGCCATTTGGGTTAGGCTATTTTTTAAGGTGTTATTTTCTTCAATGGTTTTTTTTTGGGTCTCCTTTAGCAAGCTGTTGACTAGTTGTTCATGATTTTCTTGCATCAGTCTCATTTCTCTTCCCAGTTTTTCCACTACTTCTCTTACTTGTTTCTCAAAATTCTTTTTGAGCTCTTCCATGGCCTGGAACTGATTCATATTTTTCTTGGAGGCTTTGGATACAGGAGCTTTGAATTTGTTGTCTTCTTCTGGTTGTATGTTTTGATCTTCTTTGTCACCAAAGAAAGATTCTATGGTCTGACTTTTTTTTTGTGAGGTTTGGTCATGATCCCAGTCAATTTCTTGAGTTTTAAACTCTTTGTTAAGGTAGGGGTCTGCTTCCAGTGTAGAGAATGTACTGTCCCAAGCTTT